CTCACCTGAGGCCCACAGCTGTGTGTGGGTCAGTGATGAAAACTAGCCAAATCTGAGCGTGCCGCCACACCAGTGATTATGCTAGAGAAGCTGTGTGAGAGTGTGTGAGAGAGAGAGTGTGTGTGTGAGAGAGTGTGTGTGTGTGAGTGTGAGAGAGTGTGTGTGTGAGTGTGTGTGAGTGAGTTGATGTCTGAGCAATGATGAGTGTTTAGCACCTGAAGTACATGTGAGTAACGCGTGTATGGTAATGAAGGTCTCTACACTTGAACTGAGCTCAGGACATGAAGTGTTTCAGTGTGTGTTTGTACAGTCACGCTGTGTAAAACCACTCTCTGCTCTCTGTGCTGTTGATCCAGACTCTCGTCCACTACGGTCTCCACAGGAAGCTACTCCACTAGTGAGTATGAGCCTAGTTCCGCTGTGTCCGGTGTGTTCGATCATTCAGAGTTTGTTCTGGAAGATGGATCTGGATCTGTGTGTTTCTGGAGCAGAGCTCACGTCTGCATCTCTCTCTCAGAAGCTGATCCTGTCACATGACCGCTGCCCAGGCACCGGAAACGAGCAGATCATGGATGAATACAGCAAAGGGCTGAGCGCTTTCCTGAGACCCGCAGGAGGGACTGCAGGCAAGCGTGTCATTGGTTTATTTTAGGGCTGGACCATATGGAAAAATCTTTTCAGAACATTTGACCGATTCTCGAATAGACAGACGCGATGTGATTTAAAGCCATTTGTGCATTTTGAGAGAAAGAGAGAGAGAGCACGCGGTGATTCACTCACGCTGTTTATGAAATTATGTTTCACAAAAGGTTTTCAAATTACTTTATAAGTTATTTAATGAAGAAATATGAACTGTACCTCACCTTCAGCATTATAATGATTTCACCCGCGTTGGACTGAGACGGTGCCAAACCTCTCACAGCAGCGTCATCAGCTTGAGATCGGTTTATGAGATCGGCCTTTATAGAGACCGCCGGTCAATCATCCCGAAGCGATTATCGGCCGATAGTGATCAGTAGCCCATCAATCGGAGCACCCCTAATACCATTTAAACAAATCTTTGAAATGACTAATGAACATCTAATTTCAAAAATCTTGCAAACTTAGTTGGATCCAGCTGTGAGATCTTGCGAAGTGTGTATGTGTATCCTGCATGATCGCGTGTTCTCTGCGTGACGGTCGGTCCGTGTGAACTGAATACAGACAGGAGGAGAGTTCAGCTTCACTGGAGACCTGCGATCGACAAACTAAACTCGTGATTTCAAATTATGCTGCGCTTTATGCATTTACCCGCTGTCATATTCATGTCATTTTCACTGTGTGCTGTTTGTAAAATGAGTCTTAGCCTGGCTTTATTTGAAAAAATATGATTCCCAATCCACACAAACTTCCCAGAATACTGAGTGCCCTGTTGGTTACAGTGTTTACTTCCTTTTTAATTTATATTTTTATTAAATATATATTTGTGAAAAATACTTTGTCATTTAAAGTATAAGTGTTTATTTTACAAATTCTTTTTTTTTTTATAAAAGAATAAGAATAATCTTATCTTAAGAATAAGAGTCTTATTCTTTCTCCAGGTGTTTTCCAGCCGCTACAGCCTCATCCAGACTCTTCCTCTTCCTCTTCATCATCTAGAAATGCAGTGCGAGATGATCAGGTCATTAGAGCACAGGTACCGTGTGTTTTAGTCATGCTAATCTGTCCTGGATCCTGTCCGGGCTGGAGCGAGACTGTAGACCGGGTCCTCGAGGGGCTCTCCGATCAGTTATCCATCAGACAGAGCGAGCAGGGTCACGGCACCACGCCTGCTGATCCATCTCATCATGATCAGGGGCCTCATTTATAACCATTGCGCACGCACAAAACCTGCCCTGGAAGAGCCGTACGCCACTTCCTGCGCAAAAGGTGGGATTTATAAAAACAAACTTGACGGGAAAATTTGCGCACCTGCACGCAAACTCTGACCCACTTTTTTTTTCCTGGAGAGAGAAAAGTAATGAAAACAGAGTTTAAAATCATTGTTTACTTCATGTCGATATACACATTTACATTAAATATTCCACTCTCATTAATGGAGATAAGCACTGAAATTACATAAAGTCATTACGCTGAAGTTAAACCAAAATTATATGAATTTAGACATAGCCTATTAGTGAGAACAATGGGGAAAATATTTATTTGATGCCCTGCTGATTTTGTAAGTTTGCCCACTTACAAAGAAATGAAGGGTCTGTAATTTTTATGGTAGGTTTATTTTAACGTATAGAGACAGAATATCCACCAAAAATCCAGAAAAACACATTATATAAAGGTTAGAGATTGATTTGCATTTGAGTGAGTGAAATAAGTATTTGATCCCCAACCAACCAGCAAGAGTTCTGGCTCCCACAGACTGGTTATGTGCCCATGTGGAACACAGATTAGTCCTGTCACTTTAAGAAGTTACTCCTAATGTCAGCTCGTTAGGTGTATAAGACACCTGTCCACACAATCTGTATCTTCCATTCCAACCTCTCCCACCACCGTGGGCACGACCAAAGAGCTGTCAAAGCATGTCAGAGACAAGATTGTAGATCTGCACAAGGCTTGAATGGGCTACAAGACCATCAGCAAGAAGCTTAGTGAGAAGGAGACAACTGTTGGTGCGATTATTCAGAAATGGAAGAAATACAAAACAACTATCAATCAGCCTCAGTCTGGAGCTCCGTGCAAGATCTCGCCTCATGGGGTAAGGATGATCATGAGAAAGGTGCGGGATCAGCCCCGAACTACACGGGAGGAGCTTGTTAATGATCTTAAGGCAGTTGGGACCACAGTCACCAAGCAAACCATTGGTAACACACTACGCCGCAATGGACTGAAACCCTGCAGTGCCAGCAAGGTCCCCCTGCTCAAGAAGGCACATGTACAGGCCCGTTTAAAGTCTGCCAAAGAACATCTAAATGATTCAGAGAAGGCTTTGGGAGAAAGTGCTGTGGTCAGATGAGACCAAAATTGAGCTCTTTGGCATTAATTTGTCTCGCTGTGTTTGGAGGGAGAGAAATGCTGAACACCATCCCTACAGTCAAGCACGGAGCTGGAAACATTACGCTTTGGGGCTGTTTTTCTGCTAAGGGTACAGGACGATTTCACCGCATTGAGGGGCAAATGGACGGGGGCATGTACTGTAAAATCTTGGACGAGAACCTCCTTCCCTCAGCCAGAACACTGAAGATGGGTCACGGATGGGTCTTCCAGCATGACAATGACCCGAAACATACCACTAAGGCAACAAAGGAGTGGCTCAAGAAGAAGCACATTAAGCTCATGGAGGGGCCTAGCCGGTCTCCAGACCTCAATCCTATAGAAAATCTGTGGAGGGAGCTGAAACTTCCAGTTGCCAAACAACAGCCAAGAAACCTTAAAGGTCCCATGAAGTGCCTTGAAACACACAGCATTATTCTATGTGGTGACATTGTTTCAACTGAAACAGGAAGAGAGGGCGGGACATATCAAGCAGCCCAGCCCATTTTTTAAATTAGCCAATAGCGTTTTGTTTATATCTACACGGGTCACTGAGAGCCGTTGAGCTCGGTAAAGCCGCATTTGACAGCCACAGTCTAATACATTACCCTCTAGATTCAATATGAAACTTTATAGTTTCATAATTTTATAGTGTAGGGGGCGGGGCTTCGGCTTCTAGAGAGCGTTTGATTGGTCAGAAGATTTGATGAGAAGCTGAAGTACGATGTGACGTCAAAAAAATAGTTGAGCCGTTTTGGCGGAAGTGACGAACTGCAAGCTTTGAATGCTTATCTCTTCTAAATGCGAATTTTGTCACTGTTTTGGAGCGTAAAGAGGAGTGGACCAAAATCCCTCCTGAGGTGTGTGCAAACCTGCTGACCAACTACAAAACACGTTTTACCTCTGTGCTTACAAACAAGGGTTTCTGCACCAAGTCATGCTTTGCTTGGGGATCAAATACTTATTTCACTCACTAAAATGCAAATCAATTTCTAACCTTTATATAATGTACTTTATAGTTTCATAATTTTATAGTGTAGGGGGCGGGGCTTCGGCTTCTAGAGAGCGTTTGATTGGTCAGAAGATTTGATGAGAAGCTGAAGTACGATGTGACGTCAAAAAAATAGTTGAGCCGTTTTGGCGGAAGTGACGAACTGCAAGCTTTGAATGCTTATCTCTTCTAAATGCGAATTTTGTCACTGTTTTGGAGCACACTGCCTTATAGATAACCTTAAGACTAACATATTGATACTAACACCCAAAAAAACTTTAATTTTGATTTCATGGGGACTTTAAGGATTTAGAGAGGATCTGTAAAGAGGAGTGGACCAAAATCCCTCCTGAGGTGTGTGCAAACCTGCTGACCAACTACAAAACACGTTTTACCTCTGTGCTTACAAACAAGGGTTTCTGCATCAAGTCATGCTTTGCTTGGGGATTAAATACTTATTTCACTCACTAAAATGCAAATCAATTTCTAACCTTTATATAATGTTTTTTTTTAGTTGGTATTCTGTCTATATACGCTAAAATAAACCTACCGTAAAAATTAGACCCTTCATTTCTTTGTAAGTGGGCAAACTTACAAAATCAGCAGGGGATTAAATAAATATTTCCCCCACTGTACACTATGCATACTATAACCTTTACACACTACACTACTACACACTATACTATATACACTATTTACACTATACTCTGCTATAAACTATATACACTATGCATACTATACACTGTATAACCTTTACACTCTACACTATATATACTTTAAACTATATACACTACGCAAACTATGTACTATATACACTTTACACTGTATACGCAATGCATACTATATACACTTTACATACTCTACACTATATACACTTAAGGCTATTTATATTGTACACTATAAACTCTACACTATATAGTACATTCACTACACACACCAGACACTCTATGCAGTATACACCATATGCACTGCCGCACACTGTAGACTTCTAGAGTGCATGCACGTTTGTGGAGATTACTAGCTGGTGGAGAAGCTTCATCAGCGTAGCGTGAAGGTGTTCCTCATCGTTGCACACGTGCCGTCGCAGCTCAGCATCCCTCGCCATCACATCTATTTTTTTGTTTGTTTCTTTTTTTAATTATTGCTTGAGTAGACACATTTCATCATGTCTTTTCAGACACCTATGTTTAATTTCCTTAAATATGCTATTTTTAAACATTTAGTCAAGCAACAATATATTCATTATCTCATCGTATCTGTGAAAGGGATTAAAAATTTATTGGTTCTGATTAAAAACGGTGGCCTATTTTATTTTTTTTTTACCGGTCAGAATGAAATAAAACATAGCTGCTCCATTTATTCAGAAACAAAAGTCGTAAGAAGTGCTATTTGTGTATTTAGATTTTCACTATATTAGTATACAGCAAACATTAATCGTCAGACAGCTGACAGAAGAGCTGCAGAGACATTAAAGGCATTGTAACCTTATCCATTGACAGAATTATATAGACTGAATTAAACTCTATTTCTTTTCATATTTGATTTTTTTTAATGAAAATTTTTGTATATTCCTTAAGAAAATATGTCAAGAAGAATAGCTTATTTGTTGTGAAGTAGATTTAAATATGCTTTAGTTAAAAGTTAAGAAAAAAAAAAAGAATTAGCCTGTAGTCTATAGATAGGCTTATTTTTTCTTAACTTTTGTTAGACTGCAGATCGAAATAAAATAATTATTGATAATATCCTTAAAATGAGAGAAATCGCTGACGTACATTCAGGCTGTTTTACTTTTCTCGACTGCAGAAAAAAAGTCAAACCTTTTAACTTGCAAAGTTAATGTATGAAATAAGATAAAGACAAGAAATGTGTAATCAAGAAGAATATTTGACACAATTATTAAACATGTTTTCTTTGTGAAAACGGCTGGTTCTTGAATTCTAAGATTATAATCTTCAGACACCACACACTATGAGATATTTCTGCCCAACTGGATCAGACACCAGACACTCGTTTCATAAAACTAGTTTATTTGAGTTCGTCTGAGTCCTGCTGCTGCGCTTCACCTGCTAGCAGACCGCTTTGAGTCGTGTTTAGTTTGACTGGCTATTAAAACCCTTTGAGAGCTGCTGTCGGGTCTCTTTCAGAGCGCTTTCATTGGGCTTCGGAGAGCTGGAGAAGATCTAGTGATGACTGGAGTTTAGCAGACTCTGTGCTCATGCACTAGCTTTGTGCCTTTCCTAGTTTCACCTAATGCACGTTTGTGCGTTTTTAGTTTAACCAGTTTTCTGTGATGTACTGTACGGTTAGCGTTTTAACTGTAAGAACTCTTGACTCATGTTCGGAGGTCAAACCTTAGAGAGAACACTATAGTACGCCTCGATAGTGATTAACGGTCCACTTCAGTATGCATATTTGAAAAAGAGCATTTTTAATAATGGTTAAGAAGTAATAAAGTAACAGCTGTTGTGTGTCTTATATCGGTGTAAACATGACGCAATGTGGTAGAATGATGATTTATGATTTATTACAGTATTGGATTGATGTGAGACCTCTCCGTCGCATCAGTGTACAGTCGACTGAGCACGCTGCGATCACACACAAAACTAACTCAGTCTGTCAGAGAGCCACTTCATCCAGAAACTGCAGACGTTTCACAACACACGGAAAAAGGCATTTAAAAAGCACGTCTATGTAGAAACAGAATAAAAATGCAGCAACTAAATAAAAATGATTTCTAAAAAAAAAACAAAGTAATTTTGCACTCGACCGGTCCCCAACGAGGCTCGTCCAGCTCCGCTTTCACAGGTTTGATCTGAATATGTAGGATGCATTCTGCTGTGTTACACAAACATGAAATCCTCCGTGTGGGGGTTATTTTTACAGATTATACATATGCAATAAATACATGAACACTCGAGCACATTTACAGTGCTTTCTCAGCAGGGAGAACAGTAAATGTGTGTTTATACTTCATTCATAGATGCTGTTTGTTTTGAAATATGATGAATCAAAGATGTATCGCCCACCAAACTAAAAAGGGTTCAAGACTTGTGGTGATTCAATGCACTTTCTTTTATATCCTTTACATCTTCCAACGCAACTTTATTTTACAGATTGATGTAACCAGCAGATTTCAGATATGTCTCCTCAAACCTTACAAATTCAGTTTGGTTTGCTGGTGCAACGTTTCGAGAGTTTCTGCGGTCAGGAGGAGTGTGTTGTGTTGACGATGGTTGGCATCATGAGTTAATCAGGGCAGTGAAAGCGTCTGGTGTTGTGCTCGTGGGGACGTGGCGTGACGCATTACTGGAGCGGAGACGCTTTGAGCGGGATCATTATCCTGGACTCCATGTGCTGGATGAGCGGCACTGAAAACAACACAGAACTTAGGACTAACTCGGTCTCAAAATATAACAGCAGCGATAATACATCATAATACTGACACTGAATCTGACTCTTCATGCTGTGTTAGAGCAGCAAAAGTCACTTCCAGAACACAAAAGTAATGTTAAACTGCTCTTGTCTATACAGTCATGTCCATATATATTTGGACAGAGGCACAATTTGTATTATTTTAGCTGCTGAGCAAAACATATTCATGTTACAGTTATATAATGAATATGGGCTTAAAGTGCACACCCTTAGCTTTAACTTGAGGGTATTCTTATCACAACTGGAGGAAAGGTTAAGGAATTACAGCCTTCCCCCCTTTACCAAGGACCATAAGTAATTGGACAGTTGGCTCAAAAGCTGTTTCATGGACAGATGTGGGCTATTCCTTCGTTATTTCTACATCAGTTAAGCAGGTAAAAGGTCTGGAGCTGATTCTAAGTGTGCCATTTGCATTTGGCTATCATGCAGATCACTGACTAATGAACAAAAACGACATGTTAGCAGACCAGAGACAGACTTCTGGAAGTGGTCAGAAGTGAACAGTATGAGACATACAGTATTAGACATACAGTTCACTTCTGACTCTTTCCTGAAGGCAGTGATGATAACTGGAGCGGTGTAGCTGTGGCGTGTGTTTACCGGTGTAATAGACCACTTCATCCCAGCCCTCGTGCTGCCAGGCGGCGTTCCTCGTGTCCTCTCTGGACTGCAGGTCCTTATATGCTGAAACAGATGGACACAACTACACACATCAGAGGCGCCAATTACTGTTTGATTACTTAGTAATCTTGGTGAAGAAAATAAGTGTAAAATGTGCTCTGCTTATCCACCAAAGACTCAAAACACAGACTGAAGACTCCTGATATTTAACATATATAACACCGTCTGTGCTGAGCTTCTCAACATCTCATGATAAACACGTGTAAACATGCTGCAGACACACGAGAGATGCTGCTGATACTGTGGGAAGAGAGCTAAACTGATCTGAAGAAGCACACTACTGTCTTCATCAGGGCTCAATCTGGGTTGGCCTTGTATTTGCTGGGGTTAAAGCAAAAACAATCCTGAGCCTGAACTTTTTTCCGGGGGGGGTTGGGGGGGGGAC